TTTTCTTTTTTAAAATGGTTTGGGTTGGTGGATATCTCTGAAATGATATTTATCACAATATTAAAAAGAAGCCAAACTACAAATAAAATTATACGAAGATAATGATATCCCGGAAAAAAAAAATCATTTTTACCTTTGATGGAAATTCTATTTTTAAAAAAATTAGTTTGAGAGACCAATTGAATTGATATGAAAAAAAAATTGGCCGTGATGTATCAATATTGGCTAGGTTTAATTGTGCTTGTGAAATTGGGTTAATAAATGATTTTGGCCGATTTTTTAAAGAGGTTTGGTTAATAATTGATGATAATTGATTTGGCCTAATATAAAGAGATTTGGTTATATAAAGAATATTTTTGTGAATATTGGGCCCATTTTTTGTGAAATTGGGCTAACAGTATTTGTTTTGACCGATTTTTTGAAGAGGTTTGGTTTGGTTTGAATATTTAATATCCGGATTATATATACCATATATCTATCGCATTATCGATTTATAAAAGATTTCCATCTTTTAGAATTGAATTGAAGATTTCCATACTTAAAGTTTTTGAATTAATGATGCATAAATTTCCAATTTTTATTTGAATATTCGATTTTAGAATTTAAAGGACTATTTGTATATTTTTTTGTGTTGTTGAGAATTCTTTTGGTAAAATTTAATTATTGTTAATCTGCTTATAATTGGCTCTATATTTTATTGTTCCGATTTTTTGGAATTAAATATATTTATCCGATTTTAATTCAAATTTGATTTAAGTATGATAAATATATTTATCACGATATTGATTAAGAAAAATTAATCAATTGAAGAGATTTCGTTTACTCCGATTTGTTTGGAGTGAAATATATTTATCTGATTTTAGTTCAAGTTTGGTTTAAGTATGATAAATATATTTATGTATGATAAAAATATTTATCATGATTTTAATTAAGAAAAATTAATCAATTGAAGATGTTTGGTTTAGTCTTCACGATTTTTTAGAGAGATTGTTGAAGAGTTTGGTGTGAATGTCATGTCATATTTGTCACATTAAAATTGTGAGAATGAATTTAGTGATGACACATAAGCTCTTTTCAAGAAATTGCTCTCCAACTAATATATAAAGGATTATTTAAATAAATAATTAAAATTAAGAAAAACTATTAAAATATTAGATATGATACTGTCACCGTTAATCACGCTCTTAGTTGTACAACTATGTTACTGTAACAGCGACCCTAATTGACTAATTAAGATCTTGATAAAATGGAAAAAAAAAATTTGCTACAAAAAAAAAATGGAGTTAGTTAATATCCTTGTATTTCTTCGAAATAGATGTGATATATTCACATAAGTCGGAGTTATTTTTGCCCTTTTTCTCGTCTTCATAACGTATTCAATCCAAAATAAGGTTTTGAATAAAATGCCAACGAAACCCTAAAACAAAGGACATCAAAGTTTCCCAAAAAAAAAACAAAACCTAAAACAAAGGACCTAAAATCAAACTTACAAAAACAAATTTAAAGAACCATTGCTATATTGTTGATTGGGTCCTGTGGATGCCGAGACCTCTTCGGGTGCCGCCAAAGTAGGAGTTGGTGGTAAACTGAACTGATTGGCTCCGATGAGAAAATTGCGAGAGACTCTCTTGCAGGTCACGCAAAGCACACTTCTCATATGCGGCGGTACGGCCTCGGGTAGGTGAATCATTCGGTCGCAATTGTTACATAGAAGTTGGTCCTCTACTTCACAGTAAACCACAACATTTGAAGCCAAACATGATTCACAGTTCATTGCAAACATCCATCTCTCGCAATTGTTATTCCCATTGCATCTCATCGCAAACATCCCTTCTCTTCTCTGGACGCCAACCAGATGAGGCATATGCTCTTGCTCATGATGATGAATGTTGTTATGGTCATGGTGTTGTTGAGGAAAGCGATTGATGGTTCGAGTGATGTGGCCATAAGAGGCGCAATTGTAATCGAGTGAATAACAGGATTGGCAAAGATTGATCTTGTGCTCACAGCAGAGGAGTATAGCTGGATTAATCATGCATTTCTCGCAAAGTTGGTAACGTACGTGTCCTGCGAAATAGCCATCACGTTCATTATAATGCTGCATGTAGTCGCATGGAAGGCACAAGTTAAGAGCTTCCGTAACACAATGGATCATGGCTGTTGTACGTCTACACGTGTGACATTTTTCTGCCATATTTCCTGAAAAAAAAAAACGTAAAAGATTATCACAACTTTACTTATACAATTAACATAGCAAAACGGGAGAAAACGAAAATAGAAGAGAAACAAACAAAGTACCCACACAAGAAGGAGAGAAGGGAACAACGTTTCTATTTTTAATAATTATGTTTAACGAAGATTGACTATCGCAATATTTGCAACTACGTAATTTAGGTGCATCGAAAATCCCTTGCAAATTTTTTTTTTTTTTGTCAACCAAACTATTATTTAAAAGATGCCACCACGGTTGATTAACCAACTAGGCGGAATGTTGTTTGCAAATGAAAAAGGAAAACCTCTAGTACGTGCAGAACGGACTAAACAGTCCGCCTTTAAATTAACAGAACGAGAAATCAAGGACAAAAAAAATTGGGGAAAGCGATTCTGCAAACCCCTGAGCTGATAGAATTACAAAGGATGGCAGAG